AGTTCTTTGTATATTAGAACAAGATTCTTATGCAACTCTATAAAAATAACAGTCATTCTAATTCTTGTCTTCGCTTGGTAAAGTTATTTCTCCTGTATTTTATACGTGTAATTTAAGCCTACTATAAAGAGAATTGCTCTTCAGCAGCCTCAAGCAAATAAAAAATGTTAGCCTCCTGCTAAGCTTCATTTCCTAACTACGTCGTTGTGAGTCAGTCGGTGTTTCAGCTCTTGTTCCAAGAGGCAGGTTTTGTCACTCTTTGCCAGGGACCCCATCTCAGAGCATCCCAGCATATCCTCTGCACTTTCTGCACAGTCTGACGAGTTCTGCCACAGAGGCCTCCTTTGACTCAAGCCTACGACTACAGCACTTCCACTGCTAAACGCGCAGCAAAAATGCTAATTAAACTCTTCTCCTTCACTCAACTGCATAAAGGAGAGCAAAATGTAAATGACGTTTCTCACTAGCCGCCGGCAAATTTCCCTTGGATTTAACCGCCATTCCGACACTGACATCCTACGCACTGTTTGGCACATTTGATTTCACACTCTCCTTTGTGATTCCGTTGGCTCAATACGCTAAAGATGCTGAAAGACAGCTCCATCTCTCATTCTTAATGATCTCCATACAACTTCAGTCAAGCCACCGGTGTGTCAGCGTGTGTATGGAGAGAGAGGGAAAATGCTGAGACTGTGATTGAGCCGCTGCTCACGCCTGCTGCAGACAGGCTGCTGACTGCTCCCTGCTTTGCTTGAGGCACCTCACACTGATGTGCTGTCGCCTCAGACCTTTCTGGGGAAGCGATGTGCCTTCCCAAACCTGCTGTGGAAATCGGATATTTCAACTGATGTATTGCCTTCTCATTAGTATAGAGAGATGATGTTAGAACGTATCCAGCTCTCATTGACAAGAATTGCAGTTTTAGCATCAGAGATCAAAAATAACATTGCAGATCAACATTATGAACTTACAAACAAGTATAAAGCACAGGGGTAATTTTGGCTATTTGGTTTTACTCAGCCTCTTCATTAATATCTGAACTACCGCTCTTTATATTGCAGCTTTGTTCAGCTTTTGTAAAGCATATCTATTATTTACAGCCTGCTGATAGGATCTCTGAGCACTGATAAGCCCACATACTCTGCTTAAGGCACTGCCTCAGAAAGGAAAAATACAGAGATTTAACCAAGGGTTACAAAGTACTCGTGCTTTTCCAGAAAAGAAGGAAACAATACCTGCTATTGCTGTTGCTGTAGCAGTACTTTAGAAAGCTACTTTCAGAGCTGAAGGCTGAGATCTCCCACTCTGCTTTCACTTCTGTACATAAGGAAGAAGGCAAGGAGAGCAAACCCTTAGAAAACCCCAGTACAGCAAGGATAGAATTTTGCTTCACACAGCAGAGTATAAAAATAGCCATCAGACACTGTTTTCAATTTCTGCTGGGACTGTGCACAAAATACCAGGCTGACAGGAAGAAACGATAAAACTTGTATGAGACAGCGGGACCATGATTTTGAACACCCACAGGAAAGTGTACTGCGGATCGGAAGGACAGGCCTTCTAAAGCCACAATCTACCTCACCGCCGGATAAGTTCTTGCCAGGAGATTGCAGAATCCCTTGCAACAGAGAGAAAATATCTTCATCCTCTCATCACAGTTCAAATGCAAGGCTTCTTTTTCTTGCTTTTAGAGATAATTCAACTCTTTACAAAGGTAGATGATGGTAGGACAAGGGGAAATGGTTTGAAGTTGAAGGAGGGAAGATTTAGGTTGGATGTCAGGGGGAAGTTGTTTACTATGAGAGTGGTGAGGTGCTGGAACAGGCTGCCCAGAGAGGCTGTGGATGCCCCATGCCTGGAGGTCTTCAAGGCCAGGTTGGATGGGGCCTTGGCAGCCTGCTCTAATATTAGATCTGGAGGCTGGTGGCCCTGCCTGCGGCCACGGGGTTGGAGGTTGGTGATCCTTGAGGTCCCTTCCAACCCAACCATTCTATGATTCTATCATTCTGTTCTATGATTCTTTGAGCAGTCACTTTGAGACCACAGAAAGGAGTGGTGCCTTCCTCGGTTCTGGCGAAGTGCACCCAGCTCGGTCACGGAGATGGCATTATCCGTAATGGTGCCATGCGCGTATCTATAGGTTCGTACATACAGTAATACATTATGTATTAATGTTTTAAATATTTCAATTGATAAGAGCAGTGATATTTATCAAGGAAAAAAAAAATCAACATAGCTGCCCTACTCTCATTAGCACTCACCTATAGTAAACAAACCAGATTTTTTGGCATGCAATGCCTTCATGAGCAATTAATCATTGTACCAGTAAGATCACGAGGAGAAGCGTAAGTAACAGATTATATTTGTAGGTATGTTGGTAGTGCTCCTCACTTGAATGACTGCGCACGAAGCCTGTATTAGTACTCTGGCTCCATATGTTCTTAGTCAAAGCTGTAAAACTGTTATCTAAAGTGAAATGGTTGTAACAAAACAATTCTAATTGGTAGAAGCTGCTGTTAAAGCATGGTTTAGCCACAGTGAAACATTTTTACTATGATAGTTATTGACAATAAAACAAAATGTTCACCTCCCAGCATGAACAACAAATGGGGGAGGGTGTATTCTCTCATTCCTTACATTAAAGTCTGGGTGAAGTCAAACCAAACATTTGCTTACAGAATCTTTCCAGGGTCCATGCAGTGTGGAGAACAGCAGCGTCTGAGCACACACAGTGCAAACCATGGCACCATCTAGCACACGAATATGGCTAACAGGGATCCAAAGCAGAACTCTGCAGCAAGATTCGCTGACCCTTGGGATCTCTGCAGCAAACTGAAGTGTGCAACAGTCTATGACTCATGCAGCATGACATTCCTCATCTGTCTTATGTACAGAAATGGAATGAAACCAGATCTCCTTTTCCAGGTTGCTGAATGAATCTGAAGCTGGAGAGTCTTTGCAACTCCATAGTTTTAGCCCAGGTCCACAAATGGCCAGCTGACACTCGTGGCTGCACAGCCCTGCAGGAAAGGGAGTGGGAAATGAATGGTGCTTGTAAGCTAACAGATTTTAACTCAGTTGTAATGCCTTATGGCATACACATTTCATTGCTTCCACATCTCTGTTGATGTAAAAACTGACAAACAAATCAGATCATGAAAGATAAAATTTTTAATGTTTATTTTTCAGTGAAAAAAACTTTACAAGGAGAAAGAGGTTTCACAGAAGAAAGAATACATTCTTCAGTAGCTGTTTATTTTCTCAGTGAAATATGAGGCCGACATTTCCTCTATGGTGTATTTATTTGTTCTCCTAATATTACAGGACCTTTACCTTTTACTTAAAAAGGATCATCATCCATGAATATTGTTAAGAACTCCATTAGGTAATGCTGTATGTGAAGAATCTCCACAATCTACATAAGCTGTAGATGAAGTGCCTTCAGATTTAATTCTTCCCATACTTCGCAGCAACAAGTACAGAACATATCTTTTAAATGTCCAAATATTTGAAAGGCTTTGCAACACACACAGTGCAAAAACAGAGGTTTAGTATCCCAAAGAGCTGACAAAAATTCCATGTCCTCAAAGCAACAGTCCTCGAGGAAGATAATACAATCCCCATCTTTCCACCTAAAGAATACAGAGACATTTATTGAGGTGTTAAGTGCTTGACTGTGACTTTCTCTGCTACTGTTCTGCCACTGGAATGTGAAGATATCCCAACATCAGAACCTAAATGAAGTGATATGGTTTCACAGTGAGAGTACCTGACCCTTCATAGCTGCCTCTACACACAGATCTCTGACGTTTAACTTATCTTTGCTGATCTGTAAGAAGAGGGGGAAAAAAAAACAAAAACCAAAAAACTGAAAAGACCAAAACCCTGCCCCTAAAATACCAAGAAATATCATCCTTGCCCATTTAAAGTTTTGCCCTCCATCTCACTTGCACTGCAATTTCTGCAAGATGTTTGAAACCACCAAGTTTACTCCTATCCCTCATGTACACTTAAAAACAGTTTCAGAAGTATGTTCACAAGATTGAGAAAAAGACTTGAGAGTAAAGTACTTCATAAGAGTAGCTTGAACAAAAAGCACCTTCACTTCAGCTTAATTCAAAAACGTAACAGTGGAGGAAAACTAATCTCTACAGTTTCAGAATTAGCAGACTTAAAAAACAAACCAACAAAAAACAAAACCCAAATTCACAAATCAGGAAGGTCAAATAAATATCTTATTTCATTCAGGACTCCAATACTTCTATGAAGACACACTTTCAAGTATTTTCATTCAAGGTACTGATTTTTTCCTTCAGTCATCCTGATGCAATGAAAGCACAGCATTTCTGTCACACTGGGCTGAACTACTGTCCCAGGAGATACTTGCTGCTATTCCTGGGGAGCCTGAATTTCACCTTGCTGCAGTTTTTCAACTACCTCATCATATATAGAAGAGAGAGATTTAAATGCACTTATTCTCCTCTAGAAGTGAGACTGGATACATGTGAAGTTAAATACTCAAAATATAAAAATATTCAGCAATTCTGTTACAGAATCACAGAATATCCCAAGTTGGAAGTGACCTCCAAGGATCATCCTGGCTCCACACAGGACCACCCAAAATCCAAACCCAAGTCTGAGAGCACAGTCCAAACGCCCCTTGAGTTCTGGCAGCTCGGGGTTGTGCCCACTGCCCTGGGGAGTCTGTTCCAAGCCTGACCACCCTCTGCTGAAGAACCTCTTCCTAACAATCAACCTGAACCTCAGGACACATTCCTTGAATAGATGGTTTTAGAACATGGATTTCAGTTTCATCAAAAGCTTAAAAAAGCTTTTGTTCTTCAAAACTTAAAACTAAATTAGGAATATTTATATTCCATATTACTAAGCCTGACAGAGATGATGCTGGAACAGGTTGCCCAGTGAGATCGTGGATGCCTCCTCCCTGGAAGCATTCAAGACCAGGCTGGATGGGGCTGTGAGCAACCCGGTCTATGGGGACGTGTCCCTGCCTACAGCAGGGGAGTGGAATTAGATGATCTTAAAGGTCCCTTCCAACTCAAACCATTCTATGAGTCTTTGAGATGGGCTGAGTTTCTAAATTTTTAGTCAAAAGGAGAAATACACATTGTGGAACATTGCACTCCTGAGGCATGTTGAGTACATAGCACTGAGCAAAGGTAGACTTATGAACACATTTCTACAAGCATCATTTCTTCAGCTCAAAATTGTCAATGTTTCAGATAAACTAGGCAAGACTTGAAAAATTCTTCAAGTTCTTTTGCTTAACCCCAAGTACTACAACTGGACAATACGTTCTCTGGTGTGCCTGAAAGCAATGGACCAACAAAGCAGTTCACTAAACAAGTAGGGGAGGGGCAAGGGGTTGGGAAAGGGAATTATCTATCTTGGATCCTTCTATGGAAACAAAATATTGGCTATATTTCATTCTTGGGGAAACTACAGAAGGAAAAGACAGACACAAATAAAATAATGAATACCTCCCATAATATTGTGACAAAAGAAAGTAAAATAAGCCAAAAAATCAAGTCATGCATAGACGTACTGAATACTTAGTAAGAATGAATCCTACTATGATTCCTTAACAAGAGTAAATGATTTTATGCAACAACATCTACAAAATATAGGAACAGCTGGTTCTGATGGATGAGAGTACTCAAACTTTGTTACATGAGTAAAATGAAATGCAAAACATTAGAAATGTTATTTCTAAATTCATGACCTGCTATACAATGCAAAGACAAATTTGGCAGTCCACTTAAGAAAATAACCAGGGCTCACTTTTGCAATGACTGTGTATAACTAACTTTTACCACTCTGACACCTTTCCAGCTAGGGACAGACAAGCTCATTAAATCTCTGATAAACTTTTTCCAATTTAATTCATCATTAATTCTGACTACTAGATTTCTGCTAACATAAATCAGTTATCTGAACAGATTTTATAACTGATCTAGTAGATTTCAGTGCACGGTTATAATCAAGAAGGGTGGGTGATAAGCTGCTATGCATGGTACATTTTTCTCAGTCAGAAGATTCACAGCCTGGAGAACACATAAACACACACACAACCAGTTACAGCATCTCTCATAAATTAATTATACAAAGAAGAAAACTTTTGACTTGCAACACACAATTTATAAACACCCTTCTGTATAAGTGTAGCTGCAATGTGTCACTGAGGTAAAGAGCAACAGTAATTTTCAGAAATTGTAGAGCATAAGAATGTACATAAATCTCTGCTGTATTCTGCTAAAGTGTAAGCCATTTAAAACTAGATATATGATTAATTACTCTACAAAGTCAAACATTTAAGGCTTTCATGTATGTAGGAAACCTTGTTAGGAATCAAAAATTCAAGACAATTTGAAACTGTGGCCAAGAGTACAACACTCTTTACTAAAATTAACAGTAAATAACTGAAGGAGCAGAAAGACATGCCCCTGTCACTTCATTCTGTTCCTCCCCCTCCTGTAAACAAGAGATTAGGAAAAAGCTTTTTCTTGATGCTCTCACAAAATGTAGTTTTTCCATGGTTTGAATGACAAGATTTGTTCATTGGAATAAAACAAGTGGATTAAGAATATATACACATGCACCTTTTCTCAGGCTAAGCAGATCAGGCATTCACATGACACTGTAAACTACTCTCTCATGTATTACTCATCTGGTCCAGACTTGCTTTGTATCACATTACAACAGCATTACATGAGCACAATGCCCTACAAGTGGAAGATGTCAGACAAAACGTGAACTATGAAAAGGTGCACCAGTAGGAAAACCCAAACAGGCATGAGAGAATCTAATATAAAAAAGAATGAACATAAAATGCATGCCCATCAATAACAGACTCAGGCAGTCAGCATTCCTTCTCTTCTTTCAATGGAGGGGAACAAACCACAGAGGGATGTTACTGAATTCAAACAGTGTGAAAAGCTACGAGAAGACATTACTCTCCTTCTTTGAAATGACATTATCTTTCTCCTAGTGAAATTAAAACTGTAATTAAATACAAATATCTCCTGGAACATTTAACATATTCATTCACAAACAAAAGCTGTTCTAGGAAAGCAAACCCTTGAACCAAAACTGCAAAAGCCTCAGAACTTGCTTCTATTGTAGAATGCAAGCATGACCAATATTCTTTAAAGATTTGCTACAGTAATTTACAACTTTATTAAGGTCTGATGCAAAACCTATTAAAGTCAGTGAGAAAACACGATGTGAAGAGGCTTTGAATTACATAATGTCACTTGAAGTTCAAAATCTGGGAGTGCTGAGCCATACCAAACTACTGGTAATTTACAGTTTTTATATCAGGAAATACTACGAGCTAAACTGCCATACAAAGAGATAGCAGTCATCTGATTTGTCAGTATTTAGAGACAGAAATCCAATATCCTATTTTTTTAAATAATATTTTAAGGATGCTTTCTGGTAACTGAACTGAAATTTCTGCTGCTTGTAGAAGCTATTCTGTTTGCCTGTCTGGTTGCATCCATAGCACTTGTTGCTTTAGTGTAACAGCACCCTGTAAACCATGGAGATAGCAATGGAAACAGCATCCCTTTTGTAGGATAAAAGTAAACAACATAAGCTCTTAAAAAGCATGTTATGCTAATTATAGAGTGTTCAGATGTCTGTTCAGCTGATGCTGTGAGTGAAACATAAGCAGGGACTCAGTGAGTTTGTATGCTATTTCCTGGACAAACAAAATAGTGTCAGGCTTAATGTGATAGATGCCAGTCATAGTGAACACACAGAGTGAGCAAGATCAGAAAAACCCCAGTAATCAGGGAGAGCTGGAGCACGCTGATAATCAGCTGCTCCTAAGACAACAAAGGAGAATTATTATAGCAGTGTGTGATAGCCATGAAGACAGATCAGGGTAAGAAGGTCTCCCTTTTACTCTAAAGGGGTTTAGGACTTAGGATGCAGGTGGGGAAAGCATTTTGTGACATCCATCTTTTCTTTGTAAATAACAAGACAAATGTATTTTTGAGATGGTCTCACATACCTTCTGCCTCTTTTAGCACAGTCATTACACTGCAGTAACAGGGAATGTACTAACAATGACATGAATTTGGTATGTCCCTAGTTTGTGTTGGATACACTCCTTGTTTATATAGGATTCACTCAACTGCTGCAAGACATAGACTTAGAAGAGAAATAAAATAATCAAACTTATTCCTACCGTTTTCCTTGAAATACAATTATTTAAAATTTGGCTATGACTAAATACTTAAAGGTCCTTTAACGTCTGAGCCTGGATGTTAGCTGGATCTTATGCAACAGTTTTCCCAGTATCTGGTACCACTAATTTTAATTTTAAAAATGTGATTTAGATTGCATTTATGCAGCTTTTTTTCCTGAGTTTGAGAATAGAAGGCAGAATTTTATGATCTTGTTCAACTGAAGCACATTTTTTTTCTCTGATTTCCAATTAAAATTATATTATATTGATCTATCTGCTGAGTTACATTCTCAAGGTAACTTTAAGAGTTTGATTTGTTATTCTGAACTTCTGAAACTAACACCTGGGTTTTTTTAGTAAGCAGCAGAAAAACTGTGATGTAGCTGGAAGCTGAGCTAAGGTTTCCTGGTTACCATCCAAAGTTAGATAAACACCAAAAGAAATCTGAAGGAGTTGCAATAAAATGTAAGAAATGATAAATGCACTAATCAATTTCTTCAGCTTCATCCTTCCAAGGCATTTGCAAGCTCTGAACAATATAGCAAAGTTCTATCCTTCTTCAGAATGGCATATGAGATTGTGAGGCTTACCCAAAGGAACTGGAAGACTGAATTAGAAAACATACCTTTAAAAAAGCAAACAAGCAAAAAGAAACACAAGAGAAATAATAGTTCAGTCTTTGCCTTGCTGACAGGTGGTGAGATAATCAACATTACTGCTACTACAGAGAACTCACAGAAAGGCTGGCACTTCAACAGAAGGAAAAAGCATACCTCTCTGCATGGTCCCCCTAAACAAAAGCCCCTTGAGTTCCTGACCAACAGGTCAGTCAGCTTTTAAGAAACATCAACAAGAAATCATACTGGGGAATTACTGACAGGTGTCAGGAACCATGATGACTGCTTTAGAAAATACCACATAAAAATTCTTCCATGACCACACTTCATTCTATATGCAAAAATAACTATCTTTCAACATACAAACAAATTCATCATCTCAGAACTAATCCTCATAATCAAAGCACTGACCCTAATCCAGCTGCCACTTAAGCACTGTGGAAATCCTTCCAATTTGGGTAAGACACTCACACATCCTCCTGTATTCTTGGTACCTGCTATGGCAAATTGATCAAATTTTTTTTTGCAAAACATTTAAGCACCAAAGGCAGAGTTCTGGAGCACAGCTTCAAAGCATTTTGCTCGAAGATGAAATCACCAGTTCTTTAGCAAAATGTCAGAACCTCTAGACATGATATTATCACATGCATAGCTCTGATTCAGAGGCCACCATAACAAATGAGTGTGTGGACAAACAGTGACTTCAAAAAACTCTGAACTAGACTTCAAGAAGGCAGTATTACTCTAAATATTTTAAGTTTGCAAGAAAGAAGTCTTCAGTCAATGTTTTACATTGAAATTTTAAAAGTGAGAAAGTGATTCACTTGCTTGAAATGGGTGACATTTAATTTTTGCAGTTTAGATAATCAAACATTTTTTATCACTTACCATAAAATGTAAGTCAGTACATATTAGAAAGATTCCAGCATGGTTTTATGATTTTTTTTTTTTTTTTTTTTTTTTTTTACAAATATACATCAGAGAGGCACATTCTTTGTTAGAAATGAGTGTGATTTTTTTTGGAGGAACTGAACCACTTCCTGTCACAGGAATTTTTCCATTTAAGCTGCGCTCTTCATATAAGGCAGTCAGATGGAGTTAAGCAAAACAATCAGCTTAAATAACATTAGTGCTACACTTTTAAGATATATTTTCAAAACACATGTGCCATAGATGCTCTTCAGAAAAACAAGCAAGATGCTTCTTTTGCAGCCTTGAGAAAGAAACCATTAGTTTTGACATTCTTTTAAAATTTAAGGGCACAAAAGGAATCAGTAACTGTTAGTCTGAAGTAATCCAACGTACAATGCAAAGAATGTCTTACAGTAACATCACAAAGCAGTATTAACTCTTTCAAAAGGACTTGTTGCTCATTCCTTAGAATGGCACATGTCCCATATATTCACAATTGGCAACAGAGTCTAGAGCATTACAATATCATTGCTGCTACTGTAATGAAAAGAAATGAGGTTGTGATTACGAATTTTCCCATTAAACTAAGAAATTCTACTTCATTTTACCAAGCACTAGTTAGTTATAAACGAATGTGTTAGTTCAACTTGAGTCAAACTGCCTTGGTTTGTACTTCCTATCTGTAAAGGCTGATTGAATGAGATTCCTTTCATCATGCAGGCACTGCTATCTTTAGTGCAATAGTAGAGGCACGCTTTGATAGCCAGGACAGCTTCAGCTGATAGACAGACTCTTGGTAGCTGAAAGGGAATGACAGTTTGACAGGAAACATCCTTAATTTCTCCAGACAGATACTGTCCTTGAAGCAGCCATGTATTATTATCTGCAAAAGAAGAACAAATTTTTTCATTAGGATATTTAACAGCATATCTGAAACCAACAGAAAACACTAGTTTTACCTATATGACAACATGGCCTTTCTTTACAATGGATGAAAAGATCCATAGCTTTGCTTCAAAACTATGGAAACTCTTCATGTTGTGGATACATATACAGTACACCTATGTTAAACACAGCAATCTGCAATTTGTCCTACAGACTCTTCAGAGGATATTAATATATATGTTTTTTTCTGAGATACATAAGCAAAACTCCTTAAATTAGTGGGCTGTTACATGTTTTCATCAGAGGTCTAATACTGCAGGTAAGATAACTGCCATAAGTGAATAGAACTGCAGGTACTTTATGACATTTCCAAACAGAAACGTTGGCTTTATGAGCGGTATGCTGAAATTTACCAATGTTCAGGCAGTTACAACATAACTGGAGTTTCACATTTATTTAAATATTTAAAAGCATGTGAACTTAAAAACAAGCTCTACGATAAGCAGTCATTGCATTGTGCTGTGTTTTAGACTGAAGTGAGATGGATGAAGTGCTCTTTCTGGCATTTTTCAGAAAACACATCAAAGCTGCTCTAGAAGTTATGAGCTTGAAACGACTTGTCGAGGTTAAGTCACTCAACTTCCTCCAGTTTCACTAATCCTGGGAACTGATGTAGATCCCCACCTCAACAATATTTAGAGATGCTGCAGGCCAAAAGGTTTGCTGACTGCCCTGGAAATATTTTCTTTGTACTCTAAAGGCTCAAACTGCAGTGAGAAACTACCTAAAATCATGAGATATATCCACAAATTGTGGTTGCTGTACTGTATTTGTTTAATGCTTTTATAAACAATCAATTTAATCAAGCTATCACACGGACAGTCTGACACTTTGAAAGCTGGCCAAAAAACTATGAGTCACAAAATGAGATGTTTAGTTTCAAATCTCTTTAATTGCATCTACAAGCTGTAATGACTATTAACATGTATTCATCATTGTAAAAGCCAATATGGCACATAAATTCAGGCTGAGAACAACTGCTAAAACTCAGCAGAATTTCAGAAAAGGATGACTTTTCAATACAGTCAAATGGGCAAAAATAACTGAAATACAAATGTTCTGTTTATTGCTTCTAAAATTTGACAAGGAAGCTAAAGAGAAAGTTATTCTGGGTCTTTTTATTTTTTTAAACTGTTTAGCAAGGTTTGTTCTGCTCTGTAATGGCTCAGTGGATATTTTATTAACTTACTCAAGAGGTAGCAGCTCTCTGTACATCGCTGACTTCTAGAGTATAAAAACAAATGTGTTCATATCACATAATCTGAGTACTAAATGTCATCCCCTCAACTTCAAGTTCATGGTGGTAGCCCTACTTAAGCACACAACACCTACTACAGGACACCACTTAGAAACACAGGTATTTCAGAGAGATGAGTAAGTTAAACACATTAGACTTACGAGCCATACCCGAATAAGTCAAGAGCCAGGCAAAATTGTGTGAACACACAAAGATGTGAAAAACCATGGGTTATTTTGTAAATGATCTTTCACATGGTACTTGGTTCAAATGGTACTTCCATGTGAAAGTTTTTACTTTGGCATCGTGCTTCCAAGGGCACTGACAGATATTCCCTTCTGAGTGCAGCTGGAACACTGGAAAATATTGTCTCCAAACACTCACTAATGGTCACCCTTTGCGAGAAGGTTTTCCAGATAACCTTACTATTTTTGTACCAAAGAGAATTTCAGGGAACACACTCACACAACCTAGTCTACCAATCACAACTATGGACAAAGTAGTGTTCAGAGTAAGGATGGTAATGATGGGTAGAATTAAACCATTTCAGTCACACGCAATATGAACATGTTCCATGTCCTCTATTAAATACTTATTGAGAGAGATTAATTTAGACTCAGCACTCCCATTTCACAATAACCAAGATGTGAAGTTACAGTGCATCCAAAGTCACACAGAAAGAACCTCCAATAAATGTCAGTAATTTCTGCTTCCTTGACATACCAAAATTTATTTCTGATATAAGGTGTGCCTTGTTATAGAGATACTCCATCACAAATAAACCAACACAAATTACAACAAAGTAAGTTCAAAATGGTTAGGTGCAAATGTACCTCCATTTCTGGAAGAGACGTAAGGAGAAAGTGGAATTTCATTCTGGAATACGTTTCAGCTTCTTAAGAAGCTTTCTGCCAGAGACAGGCAGTGAGACTGAGGTGAGCCATTCACACAGATAAAGTAAAGAGGGCACGCATCTGAGAAGGAAAAATCTCAACTGTCCTAGGAACAGTACCTCTGTAGGCCCTCACTGGCTGTTTGTTTCAAGGAAGTTTTACAAAAATTAACGCAGCATGCATTAACTCAAGCAAAAACCTTCTGGTCTTCTGGTGGTACCAAGTGCTTTACTTTTTTTGCTTAGTTGTTTTTTTCAAATGTAACAACTCTAAATGGCATTTAGCACATCACAATGTAAGTAATACAGCAACTGAGGCTGAGAGGGACGTTTTGATTCATCAGCCTGAGATCCCTCATATTATATATGTGCACATAAAGACAAAATCTACTTCTCATCTTATCTACTCCCATTCAACCGATAAAGCAACGTAAGCACTTTACCTTCTGCTGTGATAAACCAGGCATTAGGTGCTTCTTCGTTCAATTTTGAATCTGGAGGGAGAGTCAACTTCAATAGAAACTGAATTGTCTGACCGGGAGCTGCATTCAATGAAGGAAGCTGAATGTTTGGAGCAGATTTAGGCAGTTTTGGGAGGTTTGCAATTTGGTCCTTTTGCGCAGCCAGATGATCTGTAACATCGCAGGTTTCTGGATTCAGGATAGGCAACTACCAGTAGAAATCAAAATATTAATTTTCCTTCGTATTGGTACAGCAAAAAGACTTTCAAAACACAGTCTCACTTTCATAGCTGATATGGACTAGGAAAACTAACACACAACAATACAGCTACTGCACTCTGAAACTCTGATAGAATAATACTGCAGTGACAGGCAGAGAAAAGGAAGGACGAAATGACTTCTTAAATTAGAAGGATGAAACCAATTGATCCCTAGAAAAATGTTTGCTATTAAAATCACAAAACCTGTACCTGTTTTACCATACCCACTATTTAATTGAAATTTTTAACATTTGCCTTATATTTTTATTTTAAATAAAATTTGGAGATATTTTCTCCTGATTGGGTGCTAACTGTATCCTTTGGTAATAAAATCCAAAATCTAGCTATGCAGATTACACAGCAAAGTAAACAGCAATTTCCAAGAAAATGAACCAAGATGTTACATGGCATGAAAATTTAAACATACATTAAGATTGCATACTGTGAAATGCAAGAAACTTACAAGAAAGCAGCAGGACAATTACATCATATATTTATGAGAACATTAAAACATGGTGCCATTATAAGATGGACAGCAGTGCAAATCTGTTTTGCTTTCATGTTTACAAGCACATCGAGCACTGCTGGATTTCAAAGTGGATTTCATTTGGCAACTTGAAAGCCCCAAATAAGGAATACATGAAATTCTGCACAGCATATGCTAAAATTTCATGCTTGAATTAAGTTTGGAATTTCAGCACCACAGCAGTAAAATTAAGACATCATAGTACGCATTTTTGTCAAACTTGGAAGAATTTGGATCTATAAACTTTTAGTTTTGGAAGTACAGGAGAGTGATGACAACAATTCTGCTCTCCCCACAGCAGTTATATTACAGAAATGCTTGTTGACTTTTCTCTCCAGATAACTGCAGCAAGCTACCGTTTTCTCAACATTGTGCAAATGTTGGGTGTATGTATAGATCAGAAACACAGATGCAGAAGTAGAGACAACAGTGTCAACAAATATAGGATCTGTTACAAACACTGTGGGGGGGAGAAAATATGCTATAGCACAATAAGCTACACAGAAATACACAAAGTACAAAGGGTGAGATTTGCTCTGCTGTACAACAGTTTATGCAGTAGTAAATGTAGAATAGCTGAAATTTGCCATAAATGACACCTCAGATTGCCATCTTATCTTTGGGACAGACTATGTACCACACCTTAAGTCAATGGCCTCCACAAACCACACCTTATGCCTTAATTAGAGGACTTGGTAATTAATTTTAATTCCACTCATTATTAAAGGAATTGCTGTTGCTTATAAAATTTTCATACTGAAAAACTGGGCTACATTATTTAATAGCTCATATTTCAGTATTATTATTACTTATTAGAGGACAATCACTGTTTTCATGCAAAAGATGCCTTCCAAGAACTAGGACTTTGAACAAATACACTAACAGGTGATGCTTGTTTGTCAGATCATCACAAAGCATTATGTGAATACAGTTACCAACAAGTTTATTAGCTATATGTTTTTTTATGCCATTTGCCAAAGCCTGGAATAGTAATTTACACCAAGAAACACCACTATCAGGCTGTTTAATAAATATTACTTGCCATGGACAGAATTTTTGTTTCCAAATCCAGCACTTTAATCTGGTGATTATTTGTGTCTGCAACATACATCAAACGGCCGTTTTCTTCAACGCACAAACCTCCTGGTTCATTAAAAGTCGACTGTGTAAAGCTGGAGCCAACAACATTGCCTGCTTCTCCTGTGCCTGCCAGGGTAGCACAATTCTTCATTTTGGGATCTACAACCTTAATCTAAGATTTAAAAAAAAAGACCAGGAAAAAAAATCCACTTTCACAAAAAAAAACACGAGTTCTGCATTATATTATATCCCACATTTTCAGAAGACAGTGCTAAACTCTCTTAGCTAACAACTGTGTGTCCTACAAGATAGGTTATCATACTTTACCAAAAGACATCTCCCTCCTTTCTTCCTGGACTTCATTCAATTTTCTCCATTTAAGGCACCTATCCCTTTGGTATAAACATATGCTGAACAGCTTGTTTTTTTCTGCCATTGTGAAAAAATTTGCAAAACAGTGAGACAACAAAACTGGGAGGCAAACCTTTAAATATGTTTTTCTAAAAATGGACAAGTTATTATTATTTTTTTTTTTATTAAAGTAACAGCAAAAAAGTTGATCATGTGCAATGCTTTAAACAAAATCTCATTTGCTCCTGAAATTTTAATGAGTGTTTATTGATACCTACTTTAGTCTTCAAGTAAAACAAATTACTTGCCTTTAATGCAATTAATCAACATATAGCTAGTAACTTTATGAAAGCTTACACAATATCATGTGAAAGCAATCATATAAAACAATGTCTCATCTCTGAATTCCAAGGGGTAATTCAAAACATGGGTAGCTTTTCTGAGGAAAGAGCCAGTATTCTTGCTCTCCCAGTTTTATCAAACCTGCAGTATTCCTGAATAAACACCCCTAGCTGTTTTGCCATAGTTCATCATCTTTAGAACGATATAAGGAATGAGTCTTTCGTTAGAATGGTAACTTGGCACAAAACTGACCTTCCTCAAGGGGCCACCATATCAACACAGCAACGTATGGCAACAAAACAATGGGTAAAGAGGACTTATAAAGGAAGGAAGGAAGGAAAAAGAACCCACAAAAGAAATCTTATCGTCTGTTTCTTCAGCTCAACCAAGCACAATCTTCATACATTCTGAATATAATCTCTTACAGTAGTAAAAATTGTGAAGAATTGTGAATTGTGTAGATATCAAGCTACTACATGCTTACCTTATGATTATAGGAATCTGCCACATATAGCAGCTTTCTTTTCTTGTCCCATGTTACTCCTAGGGGATGCTGCAGCTTGGCATTTATGCCTGCTCCATCCACATCACCAAAGGCGAATAAATTCTGAAGACATTATCAAATGAAATTATTTGATTATTCAATGCTGGTATTAATTTAAACTGTTAGAATTAAATGGAAATTCACTGACAAAAAAAAAAATCAAGACAACTTCAAAAAAAGGATACTGAAAATGAGAAAGCAAGGATGCTAATGATGGAAATGGAAATTATCACATTTAAATTATCAGTATGAATCCAGCTGGCTTTAACGACCACGCAACACAGTTTCAGTTCAACTATCTTATAAACAAGTCAATTTATTTTGTATCTGAGGAGCAACGGTCTGCACTATAACCTGAGCACCAACAACTGGCACACAATTTGCATTCCAAGCAGTGAAGTTAAGAAACTGATGGCCACAGAAACTAATTTACCCTCTCACCCCAAAAGTGGTTCCTCCAGGTCAGGCTTGAGAAATATTAGTAGGGCAGTGTGGGGAAGTTTGAAGTGATTACCAATGGATCTCTCTCTCCTCCTACAAGGTGCTTCACAGCTCCATCTTTCAGAGAGATCATTCGCACAGTGCTGCTCTCACTATCTGCTACAAAAAGGCAGTTCCATGGTTCCTCGGAAGCCAGAGAGAGTCCAGAAGGCTGTGCAAAGCCGGCCTTATGAGGGTATGCATTGTTTCTGTTCTCTTCATTTCCACTCCCAGCAAATCGAAGACAGACTCCTTTCTTTAAATCACTAAAGAAAAATAGTACTTATCTTCAAGAACAAGTCTGACATACTTCAGACGTTATGCATAAACACAAAATACAGGAAGAGCACTTGTAAGTTATAAAAACAGCTGTACTATTACAGCACAAGAAATTACTCAAAGGCTTTATGCTATCTTTTAGTTCAACTTGGTTTATCATTCACCAGTAGAAAATTCAAATGGAATGAAAAGTAACATTAAAATGTACAACTGTACCTTACTGTCATATAGCTTTTTAGCAAAGGTAGTATATTTCATTTCCTCTAACAGATGTGGGTAAAAGCACACATTAAAGGACACAAGCCTTTTCAGTTTGAACAGCAGTAGCAAGTTTTAAGCTAAGGCACCGGTTGAGATAAATTACTTTAATTTAAACAGTTTATCTGTCTCTTTGGGGTTTGAAGGCTAGTTATCCAGACAAACAGCAGTTTCACATGTCTCATACTGCAACTGCTTACCTTCCCTTTGGAAGTTTTCCATCTTCCAACATCAGTGCCCATACCTGATGAATGCCTGCCATTGCTATCCATAAAACATCATCTTCCTGGGTCCCTGAAACTTTAAAAAAAAAAAGGATATATAAGAATAGATGAAAAAGAACCAAAAAAACCAAAACCCACCCTTTGTAAACGTTTCATAAAACAAATAAGCCAACAAACCAATCCTGCCATCCTTACTATTCCAGTTCACTGTTTGCCACAGGGAAAAACAAAAAACAAACAAACAAGCCACAGAGCAAGAGAGCAAGAGAATGTCTTTCATTTACCAAGAAATCTGCTATTGTTCTTACATTCTCTTCCCAAGGATATAGAATTATGTTTTTAATATCTCTACCTGGTAAAGACAATACTTCAAATGGGATTTGCTCTTTGGAAGATTCTGCTATTGGGTCCATGTTTCACCTTTCATTTTGGGACTATATGTTAACAAACGTGTTTTTGCTAAGCATGGATTTCAGGGTGGTATTTTTTGTTTTGTTTTAAACTAAGCTAATGGCCAAATTAGACACTACCAAAAGCTATTCATCACTGTTTACAGGCCTTGAAAGAAATAACAAGGAAAGCACCTTTCATATCAAACATTCATGTTAATTCCTGGTCATTTATCCTGAAAATTCAGATATTCTGACTGTGTTACACTTAACAGTCCCACTGAATCCAGTGGAGCACTAATGACAGTAAAGGCAAGATACACAATGTTTTTAACATAATGCAAACTGACGTTGTCTCCAAGTTGTATTCCCTGTGCACACGCACATTATTGCAGAAAAAAGATGCAGAACTACAGAACAGTGACATTCTGATCAAGCATATATCAAGCATCTAATTTTTTTCCAACACTAATATTCACCAATCCAAATCATAAAAGTTAAACAAAGCTTTCCTAGACAATATATCACAAATCAAATGACAGATATAGAAACAGAATATTCGAGTGCTCTCTAGCTCAAAATATATCACATTACATAAGAAATAACTTCAGGTTAAAAATTAAAATTAACTACTATCTTATCAACAGAAAAGCACTTCTAAAAGGCTCACAGATACTTTTTAACACAGATGAGCTTATATAAAACAATGTCCATCTCACAGCTATTCCTGCAAACAATCTCTTGGACCAGCCCTCACTTCCTCTTATTTGAAGGTTCCAAAACAAAAGCAATTATATGTAAAATGCTTGCCAACATCTTAGAACTGTGAAGTTAATCCAAAGCAATATTTTAAAATGAAATTGCCACTATTGCTCCAATTGATATTCTGCTGCTGTTCCTTCAATCCTAAATCTTTGAAATGCAGACTGCAAGCAGAAGAAAACAGCACCCCATCTTCAGCAGCATCGATTTGCTCACTGTGAGCTCTCTTAGGAGTAGCATTGGTATGACTATAATGCAGTTTTGGTTCAGCCTTTCCTATTGGATGAAGATACAAGTTTCCAAGACGGTGATCAAATGAACTCTGCTGACCCTCTCCAGCACTTCCACATAGCTCCATGGTTTTTACTCAAAAGGAAATTCCAAGAATAAAAGTCAGACTTCCAAAGTACCTGAATGCTTTTTGATGAGACGGAATGTTTGCAAAGTGAGTTGGAAAACAAACATTTTGTCAGTCATCAGAGACATTACCAAAGCATTGGCAGAACCAGTGCCCTTCTCCACACACCTAACAAAACCCCCCAAAACACAGAATCCCCTTTGGCTCCAGCATGTTCCTAAGAGATTTAATTGAGAAAATGACTATGGAAACATTCTACTACTTCCTATAAAGTGCATGATCTACTTCCAGGATTTTGTGTCTATGCTGCACAGTTTGCACTTTTCAGGTGCTACAATTTTGAAGATACCAGAGTGATGCTAAAATCATTGGTCAACTCCAAAAGCAAGCTTTACATCTTGCTGTGCTGCACTTTTCATTCTGAGGGGTGTCGAAAACGGCTTTGTTCATTACTTAATATTCACTTCACCCAACAATTAAATGAAGGAGTAAGACTAGAGCTGAGCACTTCAGAAAATTCTGTTCTTTAAAATCCAGTTTCTGTAATTCCACCCACTGCTGCTCCCCTGTGACAGCTATAAGGTTTAAACATAAAAAAAGTGCCTTACTCTAATTCTGCACATCAAAAACGCTCATCAAACATGAGACACAGGAAAAAAAGTATAAATATTAATTTCAAATTTTGCAGAATATGCAAGATCAACAGAGATAGGATTCCTTCTTCATCTGGAGATCAAGAGAGGAAAAGTAAATACGAACAACAAGAAGCAATCGCTGTAACAAATATTTTCTTCTGGACAGTAGTTAAAACAAATGGAATGGATAAAGCACAGTAACAGTACAAACATACTGAGTTGTGGAAAATATATCAGAGATTTAATAGAAAAAAAAATTCCACAAAACCAGAAAAGCAAAACCAATGCCAATGGCCACACAGAAAGCATTTTTTTTAAACACAGTGGTCCGGACACTACAGAGTTTAATGCTATATGTTATGAAATTAAAACAAACAATCAAAAAAACCTCAGACTCTTATTTGAGGATAAAGCATTTTGGGGACACAGCACCGCTGTCATCCTTGTACTGTTCTCACAAAAGGAGGGAACTGGGGAGAGCTGCTTGCTCAAGTTATGATAATGCCAACATTGCCATAACTCCTTATCATCCTTGACTGGAAAGAATTTACTTTTAAAGAATTTATTATAAAACAACATAAAAGAACAAAGCAACTCTTTTACATTTATTCAATTAAGCACATTCCAAACTATCTTGAGCTGCTCTAAAAATCCAGTATAGTTTCTCCTTATTAGGGTACGTACTTTCTTATCTTTAGTGCTGCCTGTATCAAAGCAGAGTATGGCTTACTAAAGTGATATACTTATGTTATAAAGATTCGCTAATAATAAACTAGAGCTCTGAATGCATTTGTGTGATGTGGTATACGATATTTTAGTGCTTTTTAAGTTCCTGTGTCTGCCTGCACTACATATCTGTGTTTTAAGAACTCATAATCCTGTTCGTACACACACTCAATTTGAAACAGTTGAGGAATACTGCTGACCTTTTTAAGACACGAGTCTGAACACACCAAATGGACTATCTTTTGTAGCAGGCAACATCTACTTGAAGAGATTCCATTCCCAGACCTACCACGCACTTCCAGTTGCCCCTGTGGGGACTTTTTGCTTCCTTCCAGTTTGGGAATTGAAAGTCTGGAAATCGAAGTCACATCTCACAGCTGGCACCACTGATATTTTCTAAATAGACTGAAGTTTGAAAACATAATTTGTGTCAAGTAATTTTATCTTTTAAAAATGCAATAGTAACAAAGAAGATTGTTGGTCTACTCATCTGGCGCAAAACCCCAACAGGCAAAAAGGGCTGATCAATGGCCCCCTCCTCTTACAGGCACATATGCTGCATATGTATGCATATGGATATAAGTCTTGTCCTCATTTAAGCCAGTGGAAGTTTAGCAAACTAAATCCAAATCTGACTAACACAATGGCTAGAGAATCACTGTTCTTTATCCAGTGAGACAGAGAGAGCAAATCACAAAAACAAATGCTTTAGCACTCTAAGTCGGGACTGTTGCACGTACACACCATCCTTTTTGGAGGAGGAAAAATTAGCTTTCTTTTTTTCCATGCTATCCAGTTCTCCTTCACATACTTCTGCATCATGCAAACAGCACAGTCTTTCATGAAACAAAATGCGTTTCGAATTTTCCTCCTCAATAAATGACTCCTAACCTCTAATCAAGGGAAATCTGTGCACATGAATAGCAAGGGGATGCTCAACTTTGAGAGATAAAAGAGAACTAAAAATAACAGCTGTGATCTGATGGCATTTTTTTTTAACACAAATGTACTAATTTAGATTATCTACTGATGGGATACAATAACATAACTACGAAAAAAGCTAAGATTGATTACATGTTTTATTCATTTTTGTTAGAGAATAACCACATACACTCAAGCTTAGGTCAGTACTGCACTCCCCCTCAACAAACTTCCCACATTGAAAAGTGCTTTCAGCATCAAAGCAGGCCAGCTAAGAAGCCACTCATCCTGACCTAACATGCTCATCAAAGCCTCTGTAAGATTTGTCAGGGATGTTTATTTTCAGCAGATCTTCATCTGGAACTTAACATCAGAAACAGCATCCAGTACCTAAAAGTGCTCAGGAATCTGACAAACAGTTTTAACATTTTTCTAATTCACAAACAAGACTTACACACTGCGGAAGGAAGAAACCGTATAAGAAACCAACATTCCAGGTATAAATATCATAATTTATATATACAGAAGGCACTGAAAAGTCATGGGATTCAAGATACTACTGAGCTATCAGTTCAGATGGTATCTGCTAAACCAAATGTTTCTTTTACTACTGAAAATCATCATCATCCATTTTGTCAAGATTTAGAAAAGTCTTAATAGAAGATAAGTCTGTCAAACTAAATTATACAGGATCAATGCTGGACATGCAGTCACAACTCCCATTCAGATGTTATATTCATATCAAAAGCATGTTCTACTTATGTCAGTATCTAATTTCTTGCCCTAAATCTACAGTGAATATGTTAAATATTATTAAAGTCTATTAGTATTACTATTCAGCAATGTCACAATCACTTAACATACACATAATACATATATATAATACATAATCACTTTAATCACTTAACCATTTACAAAGGGATTTAGTTTGAGAAGAGAAGACTGACAAAGCTATCTCATGTCAGCAATGTTTCTAATGTGACTTTCTGTGCTGTTCATGACTACGGGGGCAGATGATGCCCAAAGCTGGGTATACGTATTTCTGAGCTTGTACTTTGCACTGGAAACCTCTGAAGAGATGAGAAGGCTTTCCATATTTCAACTAAGTCCTCACTGATACACCACGCAGTCATATCATATATGCAACCTGATGATCTCATGAAGGAGCTCTTTAATTTCCATAACTAAGGAAAGTGCCTTTCACAAGACAGTGGAGGCTAGAGCCTCAATGCCAGAATGAGACCAAACTAGAAGGGAAAAGAAAACTGACATGCAGAAAAGCATA